GCACCGGACTCTCCGCGGCTGGCCCGGCGCGGGGTGAGGGCTGCGGGGCAGGGCTGAGCCCGCTGGCAGCGACGCCACTGCCACTGCCCGGCTGATGAAAGGCCGCCGGGACGCGTCTGTCTGCCCGCACGGGCAGCTGAGACATGCCGGGCTGGCCTCGTCACTGCCGGTAATGCTTTAGGTGGCACGGCGGAGGAAGAAAAGAGCATTAAAAATAGCCTCAAATACCAATAGGAGCAGCAGCTTAATGCAATCGCAAAAGAGCTCGCAGACAGCATCCAGGCAGCTTAGCTTTGCTTATGCTAATCGGGGAGAAGATGACTGCAAACAGCTCGAGGTGAGAAGATTGGGCGGGCGAGGAGCGAGCTGGGACTTTCCACCGGCAGGCAGCCAGCGCCAACCCTTTTATCTGCTGATGGGAGCGTCTGGTTCCTCTGGGGCCAGGCTACCCGGCCACCCCTCAGCCCGGTGGGTGCTGTAGCCAAAGGGTCCCATCACCACGTGGGAAGCGGCACCCCTGTGCCGTGCTGGGGGTGAGCCACGTCCACGGCCCACGTTCCCTGGGTTGGGGATAGCAGTGAGGTTTGGCTGTCCCCCAGCATCTACCTGCAAGAGGCTGGGGAGAAGGTGGACAACCAGTACAGGGTCAACCCACGGTCCTCCAGAGGCTTTGGGAATGCTGCACATATTGGGGTTTTTTGGGGAAGGGTAGGAAACACAGCGTCACACAGGGTCTCCTGGGCTTGCAGTAAGTAAAACTTACTTAGAACAAGAGGTAACGGGCACAAACTTGAACATGGGAAGTTCTATCTAAATCTGAGGAGGAACTTCTTTCCTTTGAGGGTGGCAGAGCAGTGGCACAGGCTGCCCAGAGAGGTGGGGGAGTCTCCCACTCTGGAGCCATTCCAAACCCGCCTGGACGCCGTCCTGTGCCACTGCTGGAGGTGCCCCTGCTCTGGCAGGGGGTGGCACTGGATGATCTCCAGAAGGCCCTTCCAACCCTGACCATCCTTTGATTCTGTGAAAAGCCGTGGTGGTAACTACCCCTGCTCAGCAATGCTCAGCCACTGAGCTGCTTTGAATTCACTGGGATGCAAACCTGAGATGCTTTTCCAGAGCACAGGCTACTTTCTTACGCTCAAAGTCGAGTTCCTAGATTGCCATTCCCTTTAATTTTGGGGCCGGGGGGAGCAGGTATGTCGCTTCAGCCCTGCTACCGCTGCTGGCTGCCCGGGGAGTCTTGCTCAGGGCTTAAAGAGGCATCTTTAAGAAAGATAACAAGATAAAGAAATTAAACCACCCCCAAACAAAAGGAAGAGGCACGCCAAGCACAGTGTGAACACCTGCACTTTTGTCTCCCTGACTACGGCACTGGTTTTGCAATCAGATCTCCCGGCACATGAACTTAACACAAAGGACATGGAAAACCAGCAAAGGCCCCATTTTTTTCCCCAGCCTGGGCAACTCCCAGCACGAGGTTTGCAAACCCAGAGACCAGGAAAATGTAAGTCACTTGTAAAATTGGCTGCACGGACGCTGTCAAGTGCTCAGGGAGATCTTTCACGGGGGAGGGAAGCTATTTGGGGGAAAAAAAAGCAAAGGTATTTTTTTTCCTGCCTCTGCCCAAACGCTTTGCCTTACGCTGAGCAGACCCTCCTCAGAGGAATACTCGATAAACACTTTGCTTCCCAGGCAACGCATGAACTTCTGAAAAAAAAAAATAATATCTGTGTTCCTTTGATAAATCATTTGCATTTAAGGTAATTAAACTTTCATCAGCAAAGCCAAAGAAACTGAGATTTTTCCACAAGAGATGAGATAGAGAAGGACCTGATTTCCTATCAGATATAACCTGCACCATAAAAACTGCCCAACTCCTCTAGGTCTCTCCTTCCCTCTTGTAGCATGGAACAAGATGGGGAAGAACGAAAGGCGGGGAGAACAGCAGAAAATGCGTGCATTTTCCAAGTGAAATGACATTCCTTAGTTCCTGGGGGTAAAAATTACCTGCTTGTTCCCGCCTGCTTTCTTATGCCTCACTTGCAAACCCTCAGTGCTGGAAAAAATCCTCCCCACCCAGGTGGGGAAGCCGAGGCGCAGCTAACCTGCTTATTAGCTGAGCTGGATGAGCCAGCGAGCAGGCAGGACTGCAGGCAGCCTGCGCACCGTGGCCGGGAGGGTGCTCCTCTCCCCTTTCCCCATCCCTTTCCTCTTCCCCATCCCTATCCCCAACCCTATTGTCATCCCCATCCCCATCCCCATCCCCATCCCCATTCCTATTCCTATTCCTATTCCTGTTCCTATTCCTGTTCCTATTCTCATCCCCATCCCCATCCCTATTCTCATCCCTATTCTCATCCGCATCCCCATCCCTATGCGCATCCCCATCCCTATTCTTATTCTCATCCCCATCCCTATTCTCATCCCTATCCCCATCCCTATTCTCTGCTCCATCCCCATTCCCATTCCCATTCCTATTCCTATTCCTATTCTCATCCCCATCCCCATCCCTATTCTCATCCCTATTGTCATCCCCATCCCCATCCCCATCCCCATTCCTATTCCTATTCCTATTCCTATTCCTATTCCTATTCCCATTCCTATTCCTATTCCCATCCCCATCCCTTACACCATCCGCATCCCCTTCCCCGTGGGGGACAGACCCTCTCCTCCAGCAGCCAGAGTGTGATCGCAGGGTTTTTTAGCCAACCCTGGTTTTTATCGGGTTTTTAGCTAAAGCCCAGGTTTTGGTGGGGAGGACGAGGCCGGCCGACGTGCGGAGCTCAGCCAGGCTCCCGCCTCATCTGCAGGACCCAGCACACGGGTGACAGCCCCGCTCGGCCCCTTCCCCAGGGATAAAACCTCCCGAAAGCAGAGAGGAGCATGGAAATGGAGTGAAAGCAGCCCTGAGGACAAGCCGTTTGCAAAGCCGCTGAGCATTCCTCCTCTTCCCTGCAATCCTTAACACACGTCCGTCTCTGCTAATAACTCATCAAGATGCCGAAATAACAGCCTGCGCCCTTCCTGTGGCACGGGGCACGCCGGGTCCTCGGCCAGCATCCTTGTGCTGGAGAATGGGCGTGTTGGGAAGAGCCAGAAAATAATGGCCAGGAAAAAAAAAACAAGTTAAAACCTGACGCTGTTGGGTTTCTCTGAAGGGCCAAATTTGAGTCTCGGTGGGGGAAAGGCAGACAGAGTCTCTGGCATCTCCTTCTGGGAGTACGGGGGTCTTGCCACCCACCCACCGCATGGACAGGGGACCAAGAGCTGGTGTCAAAGGTGTCCCCGGGGCCAAACCCAAGGGTGATGCTGTTGGGAGGGGGTGCTGATGGGGTGGAGGTCCCCGGAGAACAGGGGTTTGCTTTGCCTCTTGGCTTTGAGAGGGGCGGGCGAGACAGGGGAGAGGGCTCGCTGAGAAGGGAAGGGAAGAGAGGAGGAGGAGGAGGAGGAAATGAAAATTAATTAACTAATAAATGTGCTGGGTTGGCTCGGGGGCAGCGGGAGAGCAATCCAGAGGGCTGACTCACTCTGACTCAGGCTGCTGTCGGGGTTTAGGCTGGGTTGGCCACTAAACGAACGACACAGATGGGCTGAAATCTGGTGCGGGCGCATCTCCTGTCCCCGGCCACGCGGCCGGGCTGCGGGCACCGAACCCAGACCTGCCGGGACCCGAGCGGCCCCACGGGGAACCGCCTCGCGCGGGAGAGAAATCGCTTTCTCAAGGGAAAGGTTACCAGATTCGTCGGTGGGAGCAAGTAGCTCAGATGGAACTGGGCCTTTTGGGTGCAAGTCCAGATTTTCACCTTAAAACTGGCCTTAAAAGGGCGGGAGGGAAATTCCCCTCTGCACAGCCAGAGCCACCGCGGCGGTGGGAGAAGACGATGTTACCGTCAGCGCAGCGATGCCAAACACTAACCCCGAAGCCGGTGAGCGCATCCAGAGCCCGCAGGATGACCAAAGGGATGGCATTGATGGGATGGATCGAACCCTGCCCGCCTCACCGAGCGGGAAGGCCGTGCCGGTGCCACCCGGCATGTCGGTGCACACCGGCGGGGAGGTGCTGCCTTCCCCTGCGCTCCCGCGCGCCCCGGCTTCGCCTCGTTCCTCCCCGATGACTGAGCGCGATTGCTTCACCCCACCAGGCTCCAGCCGCGGGGCGAAGGTCCCCCTCGCCACCCGTTCCCTGCTCCCTGGGGCGCTGGGGGGGGACACGGTGGGGACACACGGCGTGGGGACACACTTTGGGTGCGTGGCAAGGAGAGGGGTGCAGGTTTAGAGGTGGTGGAGAGCATCGCTCGAGGGTGAGAGGCGTCATCTCTCCACAACCCCATTTCCAAGGGGCTGTGCCAGAGGTTTTGGAAGGATGGGGATCCTCGGGGGGAGGAGAGGGCACAGCTCCCATCTCCCCCCTCCGACCTGGCGGGGACGGGGCGTAGCTGACCCTGCACTGTTTGAGACGGCTGAGTTGGGTGAGAGGAGTCCCACCTCCTGCACAGGCACGAAGAAAAAAAGAGAGAGAGAAAAAGTTCTGCAATCAAGTTGGTTTTTTCCCACCCCCGGAGGCTTTGGCACAAACTTACTTTCTTCTTTCTTTTTTTTTTTTTTTTTTTGTTTGAATTTGTTCTCGCTGTCTTTTTCATTTAAAAAAAATCTTTTCAACCAATGCGTTAGTGAAGCCTCTCGCCTCCTGACAAAACCCGGGCTCCCTGCCAGCACATATTTCTGATAATTCATCCATTATTAAATGAAATCAAAGATATGATTTAAAAAAAAAAAAGGGGGGAGGAAAAAAAAAAGAAGACATGGGACTGTTTGCATCCAAGAGAGGCTGTTTACAGCTGGGCTGGGAGTTTCTTCAACTGCAGCAGGATTTCTCCAAGGAAAACCCACCCAAAACTCTTGCCCTGCTCCTCAAACTGCAAACATCTCCGGGTGGCGATGCCAAAACCCAGAGATCCTACGGCGTTATCCTGCCTGGCTAAAGGCGATTCCCTCTCCTTGCCGCGGGCTGGGCTGGCAGAAGCCCTAACTCGGGTGGGTGCTGGCTGGATACGTCCCCTCCCTGCCAGCGGGCTCCCCGGGGACAGCCTGCAACCCATGGCCAGAGACAGCCCGACTGGATCAGCCGGTCCTCTCCAAACCGGAGAGAGAGGAAAATCTGATGGAGAGGGAGGGGCACGGCAATTACAGCCTTTTCGCTTTAATAACCCTCGCTGCTTCCCCGAGTTCGTATTTACATCCTTCTCAGCAGAGAAGTAGTAATTAAAGTCTCTCCGCTCAGGTTTAAACAACAGCAGACCCTCCTGTTGTTAAAAGCAGAGAGGCAAAGCTGAAAATAAACTTGATTTTTATGCCCAGGGAGCCTCATATCCCTCTCTGTAGGCTGGCTAATCGAGGGGGCAGCAGGATTTAGGGCCACGTGCCCATGCTCTGCCATGGCATAGAATCATAGAATGGTTTAGGTTGGAAGGGACCTCAAAGATCATCTCGTTCCACCTCCCCCACCATGGGCAGGGACACCTCCCACCAGCCCAGGCTGCTCCAAGCCCCGTCCAACCTGGCCTTGAACACCTCCAGGGATGGGGCCTCAATATTTGGGGCATCAATACACCACATTTATCTCCATGGAATGCAGGGGATGCAAAACCAGTTGAAAAACAGCTCCGTGAGACTCATCCCTTCTCACACCATTTTTCAGCTGTTCCCACCACCCATCATGGAGCAAATGAGTCTCGGGGTCTGCAGGCACTGGCTAACGGGCAGAGCTACAGCGGTGCCAGGAGCTGCTCGGCAGCAGCTTGTGCCGTACCGGAGCAGCTCAGGCCCTCCTCTCGCTTTAAAGAAGCTATCAAAAAAATTGGAGAAAATTAATTATTCACCAAGACTGCTAATTAAGCTGATTTCCTCTGCGAGGGCATGGAAGGAAATGAGCTGGAGAACCTCTTAATTGTTTAAAAAGAGCCATCCTACAGGCGTTCCGCCCAAACCGCTCTGCCTGCCGAGAGCGCCCGGCTCCATGTTCCATTGGGACGGGAGGAGTTTGCCAGTGTCGGTGCTGGCCTCGCACCTTGCAGGTACTTTCAAAGAAGCAATGGTCAGCAGTGAGCCATAAAGTCCTCATAAATGCCTGTCCTCAAACCGAGTGACTCAACGCACCCAGCACCACACTGCTGCCTCCTCTCCAGGCAGAGACCGAGGGCTGCAAGAGGCTCCATGGGGACCCTGGGTGAAACCGGCCCAGAAGAAGTAGCGCCTCCCTCATGCAGGCTATTTCCAGGTGGCCCAAGAGCTTGAGGAAGACCTCATCCTGCTCTGGGTCCAGCATGATGTGGTGCTGGCTCCTGGGCAGCCACAAGCAGGTCAGGTCTGCTCCGTGGGCATCCCTAGTTGCCACCGCTGGATCGCCATGGAGTGCTGGTGCTTTCCCCTGATCCATCCTTGGCCCTGGCCCCAGTGCCACATCCAGGCTAGCCCCCTGCCCAAAGGAGCAAGGTCCCCATGGGGCACCTGGGAGGACCCCCCATTGCCACCAGGCTTTCAAGGAGGGGTTGAAACCGCAACGACGTGGTCAGCAAGGCACATGGTCTTCTGGTACCCATGGCCAGAAGGAAGCCTGAGCATCAGCTCTCTACGTCATGATGGTTTGGGTAATCCAGAGGGGTTGCCTGCCAAAAACACCCAAGCCACAGCTGCCATACATATAAAAAACCCCAAAGCTACAGGCAACTTAATAGTCCACCGATCTGCAGCCCCAGCTCATTTCTCAGGCTATGGCGCACGCATGAGCTGTTAGTGGCAACGGGCGCTGGGGACCCACCATCGCTCCCACCTTGACCCTCAGGCAGAGCGCTGCACCCACTCCCTTGGGTGGGTGGGTGGGTAAGAGTGAGCCCTCGGTGCCCTGTGGTGAGGGAAGTGGCTTCCTCCTGGCTGCTGGGGCACAGCGGGTGGGAGCGGTGGTGCCCAGGGATGACAATCCTCCAGAGGTGCCCAGGGATGGCAGTCCTTCGGTGGCCCCCAGGTCCTCTGCCCAGCCTCCCACGGCAAAGAGCGGTCCCGCTGCCCACGTGTGCCTTGCCCTCCCACTCCCACCACCATTTCATTTCGGTCCCCATTTACCGGGACCTTCCCTTCTTGTCCTGTAGGGGTTGATGGAGAAAAACGCTCTGGGATCTCACATGGCGGAGAACAAAAGGAGTTATTTTAAAACAAACGTACTCGTCTCCGAGGCACCTCGCCGAGAACAGGGAGATGCTGCTGCAGCCTCACTTCTCCCATGGAAATCAGTCCTGGTGTGAATGTGGTGGGCTCATGGCTGGGGAGCACCTCTCCCCCCACCCCAGCCCTTCCCCCTCTGTCAGCTGCCCGGACAGGAGAAATGTGGGGCTCGGCGCAGGCAACCGCTGGAGATCACGCAAACAAAACCCAGGGAAAACCAAGCAGATCCAGCTGAACAGCCTCACACCGAGAGCTTGGGGTTTTCCCAAGACAGCACGATCCTCCACAAGCATCCCTAGAGACCTGAGCCCTTCCCAGTATAGCTTTTGTGCCAAAACGCCATGATAAAGGAAAACGGGGCCCCGAGGAGCATGGCTGCCTTCACTTGGACAACCATGTCCTCACCAGGAGAAGAGGAAGCTTGATAACACCACGATTGCCCTGAGATGTCTGCTGTTTCCAGCAGATGGAAAGCATTTACAACCATTCACAAGCCACAGGTAACAAACACATGGACAGGCACTTCTCAGTCAACGCCGCAGCCCCACGGTTCGGCTGGGAGCCAGCTAAGATGGCCTCTCCAGCGTCAGGTCACCATCTGCACCACCTTTCCTTTCCCTTCCCCAGCCCAACACTATTAAAAACAGGCACTCGTTTTCCTACCTGGTGCTGGGAACATCTATGAGTCGGGTTCCTCCAGCAGCTCCATGGCGAGCTCAAGGTTGTCTCAGCAGAGCTGGAAGATAAAGCCACCAAGAGAAAAGCTCAGTGTTCCTGCAGAGGTGGGACACTTCAAGGCAGGTTCCTCCTGCGTGGCTGGTGGGAGCCCATCCCGCAGAAGCTGGTGAGACTGTGGGGCTCTCCACGTCCTCCTGGGCTGCTGAGGCACCAGGATCCCTGGGAATCGTGCTCCGCTTGGAGGGACCTACCCTTTTTTGACTGGTGTCCAACCCTAAAGCGCATGTTCTTACCTGCTCGGTGGAAGATGGGGGAAGGCTCAAGCACCTTTCCGAGAAACACATGGGTCTCAGCGGGGTGTGGATCTCGCCCGGCTCCTCCTGCTCTTCAGCCAAACGATGGTTAGGAAAAAAGGGGGATGCAAAGTTGCAGCAAGTTGGAGAAAAGAAGCCGGTGGTGCAAACGCTCCCCGCAGCTGGTGTCTACACAGCTCTGCCGGTTGGTTAACAGTGGAGCTCTGATCAACAGGTACATTGATGTCAAGCTGGGACTTGTCTCCTCAGCGAGGAAAGGGAACAGCAGAGATTACTAAGCAATGCAGGAATGTGGTTTGTTTAATATGAGCCATCAACACAGAAGAGTAAAATAATGACAGATGTGTAATCACATTTCCTGAGTCTAAAACCATGAGATAGAGAATTTAAACACCACTTTTCCCAAGATCAAGAAGAGGAGCCGTTTGGCTAAGAACTCATTTGGTTACTAATTTCCTCAGCATTAAATCAGCTGTTTCCCGAATCCCTTGACATACTTTGCCGAAGCGCTCCGAGGACAGGGCTGCTCCCTGGTTCGCTTTGATGTGAGGGTAAGCAGGGCGAGAAGATGCTTTGGAAACATGGATACACCAGCTGACCGAGCTGGCCTGGATCAGAGGATCCAGAGCGTTGCCTAATTGGTTTATTTTAATGAAAGATGGTGAGATAAATTTCACGTGGCTCTTTATCGGGGAAGCAGCAAGTGGTGGGAGACGGAAATCAGGATCTGGGTTAAGCCAACTCTTCGAGGGCAGGCTGGGGGGGAAATGGAGCCTTTTCCCCAGGAAAAGCCCGGCAGTCGTGGAAAGCCAGAGTTTTCTTTGTTTTGGTCTCTCCTGCAAGGCTGGTCTGCAGAAGGCACGTGGCTGAGGGACGCCAGACCCGAAGCCCATCAAGGCTGTGGGAAGGAATCGCTGCTCAGCCTTGGTCTTGGCCTCCAGCCATGGCAGTTTCCTGAAGGTCATGGGTGCAGGACCTGGAGGGGAGCGGTTACGTGCCGTCCCCGCGCTGCAGATGGCGGGGAAGGGCTGGGAGGGAACAGTGTCATTTGTTTGTCGGGTGTTTTTATTTGTCTCTTAAGATCAAAAGTGGGAAAAACACCAAGCCAAGTGGGAAATGTGCCACCGAGCGCAGGAGCCAGCTGTAGAGGGACTCCAGTCTGCCTCTTTTCCGGATTTAGGAAGCATGTTGTTTTCCCCTGGCCAAATTATCAGCCCTTCCTCTGCTTCCTCTCTGCAGCTTTGAAGGACCTGTGATTCCAGGTTGCTTCACTCATGTGCATCCATGGGATTTCTCAGGTGGCCTCAGATAGTTGCAGAAACAGTGCTGGCGTGGAAGAGCACCCAGCATGTCCCACCCTCCTACCCCACCATTTCAGCAAAGGGCAGGAAAGAAAGGCTCTGCAGACCCTGCAGCAGGCTGCTGAGAAATTAGGTCCTCCAAAGCATCACTTGGCATGGTGGTGGCCCTGGAGGGCTCACTACACCAGCCTGAGATGCTGGGGAGGACACTGTTGACATTAGA